ACAGATTGAAGAAGAAATTCCCCAGCACCCCCCCCCCCACCACAGCCCCTTTCCCTTTTCCTGCCACTCAGGCAGCCACTCTGGGTATGGAAAAGACTAACCCAGTAGTGGGGAGAATGTGGATGTGCCTCCTCCCTCTTACCATAGCATATCTTCGCAGAAAATGATAGGCAATGGGAATGTTGATATCAAATTTGAGGGTCTGCAGGATGCTGATTTCCATGGTGAGCATCTCATCTCGCTGATAAATATCATCACAGATGTACAGGAAGTCATCCACACAAGGTGGGCAAGATTCCTATGGGTGGAGAAGAGAGACAGTCATAACCAGGCAAAAACAGCCCACTCCTCTCTGCTTTGAGGTAAAAGGCAGTGGGGGAGAGAAGTGAAGGAGAGGAGGCAATAACATGTCCCAGCATAAACCTTCAGGGTAGCTCTGAGAGCAAACTTCTGTTGACTTCAGTGGTCCATCTGAAAAACAAAATCAGAGACACAGGAGAAGTCTGCCCCCAAACTGTACTACTGGAGAGAGAACAGGGCCTCTTGGGGTATATTCTTACTGTTAGAAGTGGTATAATATGACACAGGAACTGGGAGCAATGATCTCTGTATTAATGAGTGAAAACCTGGAATGGAAATCTAAGACTTGCTCTGGGGAAAGTGGGGGAGGGAGGGAAGGGAGGGAAGGGAGGAAAGGAGACCATGGAAAGTGGAGCTAGAGAGAGAAAATAAGCCCATACTTTGTTTCCTAGTCTAATAAATTAATATGGATGTTTGGGAGGAGCACTACTAGGGTAGTAGGCAGTGAGAGACAGGCAGGCAGCCACAGAGAGAGCCTAAGCAGAGACTGAGGAAGGACTGCAGGGGGTGGGAGGATGTGCTTGGGGGCTAGACTGGAAAGATCCAGACCAGGCCAAGGGTGAGAAGAACCCAGATCCAGGAGCACCTTAACATGTTCTGCCCTCTGTAGGTTGAAACTTGGTTGTGGGGAGAAGACTAGGAGGCAGGAAGACCCCCTGAATCTTTTATGCAGCTACACCTAACTGCCCACCCCAGTGTTCTTCCCACATCTTTCTCTATTTTTATATCTCAGACTAGACCAAGCCTCTAGTCTGCAGACAAGGAAATTGAGGCACAGAAAGAGTATGCAAATAGCTCAAGTTAACACAGCACCTAGCACCAACACCAGGGCAAGAAACTCTCCCTTTCTTTGCTCTACTCACCAGTGGTTCCTTCCTTTCTTCTCTTCTCATACCATTTCCACACCTCCCCTTGCAAAAGTCTTTCTGTATTTCCCTACCCCCCACAGGAGGGGAACACACCCCTTCTCCAAAAAACATAGTGGGGCCCTTCGTCCTGATAACCAGTAGAGGAGTGCTCCTGGTTCCAAGATTTGCTAAGTAGTGCCTCTTTGCACTCTGCTCCTCCTTCTGCTGTTGGCCAGTGATTCCCAACTTCTTTTTAGCCCCTTTGGGGCTGAGGCATGGAGCACTTGCTAAGCCATAAAGATGGCCCTAGGTAGGGGAAGGAAGGAGGAGGGCGAGGAGGGAAGGAGAGAGGGAAGGAGAGCAAGGAATGAACCAGGGAGTGAGTGAACAGGGAAGGAAATGAGCCACACAGGGGAGCAATAAACGAGAGAGAAAGAGACACAGTGAGGGAGGAAAAAAGGAGAGAGGGAGAAGGGAAAGGAGGCTAGGGATAAAGGAAGGGATGGAGGGAGGAAGTGAGTCAGAGAAGGTGGGAAGGAAGGAGAGACCAAGAGAGGGAGGGAAAGAGGATGGAAGGGAGCATGGGTGGGAGGAAGTGAACATGTTAGAGGGAGCTATCAAGAGGTAGAGCTTAGAGGGAGCAGACAGTGAGGGGGAACAAGAGAACCAGGGAGCAAGTGAGTAGGGAAGGAAGTGAACCAGAGAGGAAAGTAGGAAAAGAGCAAGGGAGGGCAGGAGAAAAGAGCAGAGAAGCAAGGGAAGAAGATGAGAGGAGGATGGGAAATAGCTAGAATTAGAGACAGTCATGGTGCCAGAGTACCAGGGAGCAAGGGTGGGAGATAGGGTGGGAAGGAGCACTCAAGGAAGGGAGAGAAGGCATTTACAGAAAAGGAAGGAAGGGAGGATGGGAGGGGGAAGCAAAATAGGAGGAGGAAGGAAGCCTGAAAGGAATGAGGTGGGGACTAAGGAGAGATGGGACGGGAGAAGAGAGCAAGGGAAGGGAAAAGAAAAGGAGGGAAGAAGTAAGGGAGGGTGGGAAGAAGATTGAGTGGAACAGAGTAAGGGGTTGTGGCAGAAAGAGAGACACAGAAGGAGGGATGGATGGAATTAGGTTGGGAGGAGGGGAGAGAGGGAACTAGGGAAGGAGAGAAACATTGATAGAAGAAGTGATGCAGGAAGGAAACCCAGTTTGGAGTGGATGAGTGTATAAGACAGGGATGGAGGAATGAGGGAGGGATAGACAGAAGGCTGGAAAAAGGAAGAGAGCTAGAGAGCAAGGGCAGAAGTGAAGCAAGGAGGGAAGTGAAGCAAGAGCTGTAAGAAAGGGAAGGAGAGAGGAGGTAAGGAGCAAAAGAGGGAGGTCCATGATCACAGTAGGGAGTGAGGGAGTGAAGGAGTAAAGGAGGGAGGGAAGCATGAAGCAAGTTAGGGATAAAGTTGGAGAGGGAGTGAGCGAGGGATCACAAAAACAAACCTACAGCTCTAAAGCTCTTCGAATGCAGTAAAAGTTGCTATCTCTCCGCTTCTAAACCCAAGGTTTCACACAACTAGCCTATCTATAGAAAAATAAGTTGAATAAGATCATTTAGCATCTAAAGAAGAGGAAAGAACCAGATAAATGAGATGGATTATGGTTATAAAGGAAAGGCCTGCTACTTGCTTTTATAATGCTACTTCAAAAATAACTATTTCACCTGGACTCATTACCATCTACAAGAGGTCATTTTCTCTTAAATGTCTCCAGCACCCAGGTTTGGAACTGCTTTCTTATATATGAAGTTCAAGACTCCACTAGGTAGAGATGGAGTTGGCAGAAGAAAAAAAGGGTGTGGTAGGAGGGCACAGAATTATGGATCAACAGGAAGATTTACAAAGAACAACCTATTTAACTAGGCACATAACCACACACACACGTCTTCAAAGAGGAAATGAAAGAACCCTGTGGACACCAGGAAACAAACACACCGTGATTGCCACCTAACACAAGCTTCATTGCTAAGAAAGAGACCAAAAAAGGTAGGTAACATTATTTTTGTTTGTATGTATGTATCTGTACACACACACACACACACACACACACACACACACACACACAGGCACACATATATGCAAGTATAAGCATGTATGTGTTTGTGTGCATATACATGTATATGATACATGCACACATATGCCTACATACATACTGGTTTTTGTAAACATACACGTACATACACATCTGACTCAGACAGAAACTTGATTAATTATCTCCAGGCTCTATGAACTCGGGCTCACCTCAAATTTTGCTGCAATCAGAAATGCAGTGGAACCAAGGAGTTGGAGCTTGTCCCTCTTGCATATTACCTCCATAAGGTAGTGATCCACCAGTTTCACTGCCAAGTACAGGGTCTCATGACTCATCTCAAAGGTCATCTGGAGTAATACACAAACAGGAATCTGCATATTGTCCCACCCCAAAGCCACACCCAGCAGATCTAACCACCTGGTCTGCAGCATGGTGGACAGTGGAGCTACCAGGCCTGGCCAGCCTACACTCTGCTATGAATGTGGGCACTCCTTCAGCTAGGTGCCTGGCCATATCTCCTGTGCCTTTGAGGACCTGGATAATTCTCACCTTACACAATGAGGTAGATGATCAGTCTTACAAAAGAGATGGTCTGTCTTCTCTATGAGCACCTCGAGTGAACACACCCTCTTGCCTTGGTCTCCAATACCTAGAGTCTTGCTTTCCCCACTTGCTACTACATTATATGGTGAACTCCCCCAAAGAGATCATGTTTATTTAGTTCTAAAATACAGAGACCTGTTGATTATTCGTTCATTAGTGTTTCTTCCCAATTAGATATACTATTAGAATATATGAATTGGGAACAAGTACCAATAGCACCATTTGGAAGTGAGCTGAGGGACTAGAGAAGCCAAGATGAGATTAAAGCATTAGTACTATAATCCTCCTTCCCCTTTTTCTCTTATCTATCCTTGTCTTGCCTTCACCAGCTCGAGGAAACCACCTCCTATAACTCTAGACCCAGTGTTAGTGCTGGCCCATATGGCCTACCTCACAGAGGTATCATCCTCAGAGAACTGCTACTTTCCATTCTTATCTTTTTTCTTTCAGTAATTATTTGACCTCAATTTCTTAATACTTAAGGTGGTAGTCATTACCTACTTCATTTGCATGAACTCTGTCCATCTCTTTCTTATGACATTGCTTTGGAAAATGTGGTAGGCAGAATAAAATGTTCACATTCTAATCCCCAGGACCTATGAATATGTTATTTTACATGGCAAAGGGAAATTAAAATAGAATATGGAATTAAGATTGTAGTCAGCCAAATTTAAAATAGGGTGATTATCCTGGATTATCTGCATGGACCCAATGAAATCACAAGGGCTCTTAAAAGTGGAAGAGGCAGGAGAGAGTAATGCAGTATGAGAAAGACTCTTCTGGCCATTGCTGGCCTTGAGTTACCTCTGTGAGTAAATGACAAAGCCAATGCGTGCATAGCCTCTTTCCAGTACCTCACATAGGCGCATGGTTACCCATGTAGCACACTGTTACAACATGGTAACATCTAAAGTGTAGGTAATATCTGAATGAATGGTTGAAATTTGGAGTCAAATATTCAAATGAGCAGCAGTGTCAGTTATAGTAATCCTCCTTCCTTGAATTTAAGACAGTACTCTTCTAAAATAATTCTACCACCTGGGACTACATAGAACAAGTATAATTGTTCTTGTGACAGCCCTTCAGCTACTGAAGAAACTTATCACATCTCCTATAAATTTCCATTCCAGACCAAATAACTTGACTTCCTCTATTCTTCACATGATATGGTTTTCTGTCCCTCAGCATCAGGAGGAGCCTAACTTTGTGCCAGTTAGAGAAAAGTGGCAGTGCTTTGGATAATTCAAGTAGCTACAGTAAACAAAGACAAGAAGCCTTTCAGCACTATAAGCAAGGTTCTCTCCCTCACAACTGCCTTTGGCTAGCACACCCTTCTAATTATTCATAAATGATTATGCTCCTTACCTGGGGATAAGCAAGAAACAAGAGGGAAGTAATGAATTAAAAAAACCTATAGAAAATATAAAGATTACTCTTAGTCTCAAACTAGGAGACAAATCTGACCAAATTTATTACAAATTCCAAAACTCAAAGACCATCTTCTGCAAAGATAAATAAATGGAGAAAATTGCCCAAATATATAAAAAAGACCAACTAATTTTTCAAGGGGAAATGTTCTGAGAAAACCAGAGCAAGTGTCTATTTATGAAGCCTTTTCATTGCAAAGAACTGAAATAAACTTTTTAAAAGCATATCCTCGACAAGATCTGAGAGGACACTGAATCTAAGAAGAGAACACTGTGGGATCCAGAAAGACTAGTTTCTGATGAAAAATCACGTTATTAAAAAAAATGTAATAGAGAAGGCGAACAGTACATTCAGTTATGACAAAAATCAAATCAATTATTCTAAAGGCTGCTTTAAGAAATTCTCCCAGAAATGAGAGGCAAGAGAGAGTTGAAAATATGAAAGAAAAGTTGAGATACAAGAACAGATTATGGAGATACACATGTACACATGCATATACACACACACTCAGAATGAGAGAAGAGGCAGAAGAGAAACAATAAGTAATAGTTAATAGATAGATAGATAGATAGATACAAATTTCTCTAAGCCAGTCTCTCCTCCACCCATCCAAGATGCCAAAAGGCAAGAAGAATAAGGGGAAGAAGGTGGCCCTGGCCCCTGCTGTGGCAAAACAGCAGGAGGTCAAGGAGATGGTCAATCCCGTTTGAGAAAAGGCCCAAGAATTTTGGCATCAGATAGGACACCCAGCCCAAAAGGGACCTCATTCACTTGTCTAATAGCCCTGCTACATCCGGCTGCAGCAGCAAAGGGCTATTCTCTCTATATAACTATCTAAAAGTACCTCCTGCGATTTACCAGTTCACCTAGGCCTTGGACCACCAAACAGCTACTCAACTGGTTAAGCTGGCCCAACAAATACAGACCAGGGACAAAGCAAGAGAAGCAGCAGAGATTGTTGGCCCAGGCTCAGGAGAAAGCTGCCAGCAAAGCGGATGTCCCCACTAAGAGGCCACCTGTCCTTTGAGCTGGGGTTAATACTGTCACCAACTTGGTGGAAAACAAGAAGGCTCAGCTGGTAGCGATTGCACATGATGTGGCTCCGATTGAGATGGTTGTTTTCCTGCCTGCCCTGTGTTATAAGATGGGGGTTCCCTACTGCATCAAAGAGAAGGCCAGGCTGGGCGTCTGGTCCACAGGAAGACCTGCACCACTGTCGCCTTCACACAAGTTAACTCCAAAGACAAAGGAGATCTGACTAAGCTGGTGGAAGTTATCAGGACCAATCACAATGACAGATACGATGGGATCCGTCGACGCTGGGGAGGCAACATCCTGGGTTCAAAGTTGGTGGCTGCATTGCCAAGCTGGAAAAGGCAAAGGCTAAAGAACTGGCCACTAACTGGCTAAGTGTATGCTGTTGAATTTTATGTACACCAAAGTAATGAAAATTCTATTATGTCAAAGTAATGAATTTTATGTACATCAAAGTAATGAAAAAAAACCTCTTTTTCAAAGAAAATTTCTCTGAAGCAAAGACAGATTTATTCTTCAGACTGAAAGCACTCACAATATAATGGACAAAGTTAAGGAAAACAGAAATGTCAAAAATAATTCTTTGTAGGGAAGGTAATGCATTAAACAACAATAATATGGATCTAAGTCTCAATTATCTTGACTACACATAGAAGCAAAAATAAACTACAAGTGTGCAAATTATCTTACTTGAGAGGCAATTAACAGATCAGGTTCAATAAAGGAGTTGATTTTTTTTAATGTTTATCAATTTCTGAGAGAGAAAGAGAAAGTGAACAGGAGAGGAGCAGATAGGGAGACAGAATCAGAATCAGGCTCCAGGCTCTGAGCTGTCAGCACAGAGCCTGACCCGGGGCTTGAACTCACAGGCCAAGAGGTCATGACCTGAGCTGAAATTGGCCACTTAACTGACTGAGCCACCCAAGCACCCCAAAGAGTTGATTAAATAATAGACTCTATCCATATAATAGAATATTATGCAACAGCTGGAAAAATTGCTAAGACGTTCTTAAAAGAGCAAGTTGCAGAGCAATGTGTACAGCATGACCTATTCATGTAACAAAAATATCACAAAACCCACACTCATTAAAAAGTGGTATTTTGGGGCGCCTGGGTGGCGCAGTCGGTTA